TCACATGTGGGCCGACCAGCTTTCTCCCGCTTGATTTGAAGCCGCTAGAATTATTGAGTATATATACGTCAGAAACAGTGGCGTGTAAGACGTATTTATACGGAGTAAACAGTCAAAGGGTTAAAGAACTACCTATTATTATATTCCCAAGCTCCTTCATCTGATCATCACTTTATTTGTTCACAAATTATTTTAGTCCCTTTTTATATTGTCTCCCTTATTTTAGCTTTAAAGAACTACCTTAGCTCATATTTTTACTTTTGTTAAAATAATTCAGGTGCTATTTTTTAGCTTTAGAATATTTACTTTGTCTTATACTTAATTCTAACTATAGATTCACTATAAATCTTATGATTACAAGCACTGATCCTGATACCAACCTCTTATTGAATGACTTTAAATGAATCAAACAGTAACAGTAAATTACTACATAGCAGAACAATCAAAGGCACTTCTCAGAGCCAACAACAACATAACTGTCTTTAACTACAATATCAGATCTTTAAGCAAACATTATGATGACCTCATAGCATTACTAAATTCCCTGCATGCCAGTATGTCCATCATTACTCTCACCGAAACCTGGCTAAAGCCTGATACTACAGATGTCTGTGCCATTCCTGGTTACACAGCTATCCACAACTGTAGGCCAGATCATCAAGGGGGTGGCACAGCTGTATACTACTCAGACCAACTAGAATGTATCACTAATACTTGCACAAGGGATGAACATGGGGAATATATAGTAGCTAAATTCAAATCCAAATACCTACAAAAACCTCTCACAGTGATAAACATCTACAGAGTACCACAGTCTAACATTAGCCGTTTTAGTGAAAACTTAGGAAGTATGATAACTGATGCACACATGAATAAAGATCACTTACTACTCTCAGGTGACCTCAATATAAATCTCCTGCAAGACCAGGACCCACACATAACTGAATTCACAAACACTATGAGTAACTGCTTGTTGCTACCGACAGTAACAAAACCTACAAGAATTACAGAGACTAGTGTTTCCCTACTAGACCACATCTGGACCAAGACCATATCCCCTTTAAAATCAGGCATAATTACAGATAATACCACAGACCACTACCCTACCTTCCTCATAACTAATCTAGGCAAATTACCCCAAGACACTACTAAAGTCACTTTCAGACTTCACCATGAGGCAGCCATTAATAACTTCACAACAGCAGTGACAAACATTGACTGGCACACTGAGCTAGAAACCTATACAGATATTGATGAAAGTATTAATAATTTTTTAAAAAAGACCCAATACCTTTATAACAAGCACTGCCCAAAAAAACTAAACAGATGACAGCTAAGAGACTGAACAGTCCCTGGCTAACACCCAGCATCCTCAAATCCATAAATACAAAGCACCTATACGAAAAACAGTACAGAATGGGTCACATAACCAGAGACCAAACAAAACGATACTCGTCAATCCTAACCAGCCTGATAAGAAGGGACAAAAAATTGTATTATGAGAACAGATTCTCCAACTTAAAAGGTGATATAAAAAAGACCTGGTAAACCCTATCAGAAATTCTAGGAACAAAAAAGACATCACAAAACAGCGCAATTGAACTAACAAAGCCAGATGAACCCAAACTCCCACCAACTGAAACAGCAAACAGACTCAATGATTTCTTCTCCACCATGGTAAAAAACCTTGCCAATAAAATCCCAAGCTCAAATACCCCACCCAATGACTTTCTCACTGGCAACTACCCGAACACACAGTTCCTAGCTCCGACTAACCCAAGAGAAGTCTTCCTTATTGTCAACACTAAAAAACAAGACAGGAGATTTAAATACCTTACCACCCTTTATATACAAAAAAGTGTTGCAAGTGCTGTCACCAATCATTGCAACACTAACAAACCCATCGAATCCTCTACCTTCCCTACAGTTCTCAAAATAGCGAGGGTCACCCCGATCCATAAGGGAGGAGACCAAACAGACTTGAATAACTATAGGCTAATATCCAACTTACACCCTCTCTCTAAAATCTTCGAAAAATTAATTCATAAGCGAATCTATTCCTATCTCATCTCCCACAACATACTCAACCCCTGTCAGTTTGGGTTCAGGCCTAATAAAAATACGAATGATGCTATTATACACATGCTAGAACAAGTATACACTGCACTAGAGGAAAAAGAAGTCCCACTGGGAATCTTCATTGATTTACGTAAAGCTTTCGTTACAGTTGATCACGACTTGCTCCACACAAAATTGTCGCACTATGGTATAAGAGGGCACTCCCTCAACTACCTAAAGTCATACCTCAGCAACAGAAGCCAATATGTGTACACAAATGGAGCAAACTCTTCCGCACAGCCAATTACAGTTGGTGTCCCACAGGGAAGTGTCCTTGGCCCTCTTCTCTTTCTCATTTACATAAATGACCTACCAAATGCATCACAACTACTCAAATCCACACTATTTGCAGATGACACTACATACGTTTTCTCTCACCCGAGCCCAGTCATTCTAGCCAATACTGTGATTACTGAATTACAGAAAATACCTACCTGGATAAGGACTAACAAACTTACTCTCAACATTGACAAAACCTACTTCATTTAGTTTGGAAATAGAGCCACAGATGTCCCTCTTAACATAATGATAAACGGATCACCTATCACAAAGCTCACAGAGGGGAAATTCTTAGATCATAGACTCAAATTTCAAACACACATACAACAAATTTCCAAGAAAATTTCCAAGACTGTAGGCATACTATCGAAGATATGGTACTGTGTTCCACAGTCAGCCCTCCTGGCCCTATATCACTCACTTATTTACCCCTATCTCACCTGTGGAATTTGTGCATAGGGCTCAACAACAATAAACCATCTCAGACCATTAATTACCCAACAAAAGGCTGCAGTCAGAATGATAACAAATTCCCACTACAGGCAGCACACTCCACCAATATTCAAAACTCTAAACCTACTCACCATACAAAACATCCATACTTATTATTGTACCTACTACATACATAGAACACTTAACTTGGATATAAGCCCTCCCTTCAAACGTCTCCTTACCAACCTCAACAGAACACGTGACCATAACACAAGGCACAGATCACTCTTTGATGTTCCTCATGTCCATCTCACACTGCAAAAACTCAATGCACATAAAAGGCCCAAAAGTCTGGAATTCACTACCTGTGAATATAAAAGAAACACTGTCTGTTTATAAATTCAAGTCTCTTCTTAAAAATCACTTACCCACAACCAAATAAATACTGAATAATAGTATCACATAAATGTTTAACCCGTGACCCAGTCTAACTTTGTTATTTTTAATTACATTACCTAACAGAATACTCCATTCTGCTGAATGGACAGCAATACAGTAAAAGACCATATGACCTGTCTTTGAAATACTCATTTGTGCTAAATTGTTAACTGTTTACAACAATGTTTACCACTGAATATATCATTGCTTAGTTAATTTTAAGCCTGCCCATAATGCTCTGCATACAAGGGGCTTTGGCATGTTACACTTAACCACTTAACCCGGGCCGCGGGGGCGTTGACCCCCGAAACTCTCCAGGTAAACTCCAGGTAAACAAACCCACTCTGCCTTTCCCATCCACACCGTCTTCCCCACCACCCACGCTGGAAATGAGTCACTTTGACTTTTTTGGGTTATCCTAGGTTCTCTACACATGCTGCTGACTTTTTTGGGTTATCCTAGGTTCTCTACACATGCTGCTGTGTATGATAATCTATGTAACTGTATTCTTGTGTATCTGAATAAACTTATACACTGTCTTCCCAACCACCCACACCGTCTTCCCAACTGCCCACACCATCTTCCCCACCACCGACGCTGTCTTCCCTTACCACTATCTGTATCTGGTATCCTGGGCATTGCTTTCAGTCACAAACTCCTCAAAACCATGAAATTCATCTTCACTGACACTTCCATCTCTGTTTGAACTATCAATTGGGAAGAGAAGAGTCCCAAATTCACCGGGAAGTCAGATATTTCTTAATGCTAGGCATGCTAAACGAGGACTACTGAAATGGTGTTCCCACAATGCACCACTGGCTCCCCGATTTTTTTATACTGTGCACACAGACCCATTCTCTCACATGTAGGTCTACCAGCTTTCTCCCGCTAGATTTGAAGCCGTTAGAATTTTGGCGTAGTACTATGGCATCAACACTGGCTTGCAAGCCATAGTACTACGGCACCGACATTGAAAGGGTTAATCCTTGGGCCTCTGCATAACTTATTACTCACTAGCATAGTGGAATTGTGGAATGAGTGGAATATGAACTATTTATTTATTGCAGCAAAATAAAGCAGTAACAACTGCTCACCTATTTTTCCACCTGTTAGAAAGTATATTCTAGAAAACAAGTCTACAAGTTTAGACTAATAAGTCTAGCATTAGAGCTACATGCCACCCTAATCTAATAAGTAACTTAGCAACACACTATAAAGTGAATGCTCAAAAGAAGAAATTCACTGCATTTTTTTTTGTTTTAAAGTTCTTGTTTTCTGACCTGTTTTTCAGTTGGTCATATTATTGCATTCTATTAATGAAAGATCTTCAGGCATGATCACTCCCTGAGATCATATTCTTTCTACTCTTTGGTAGTTTGATTTAATTTTTCATTGTTCCAGCTTTGATTTTTTAAATTTTTCAGTCAGTATTGAATTTTGTGCAGCCCACTGGAAGACTTGGCTTGCAAATGTCTCGACTACTGCTGCTGTACATAGATCCACTACGAGGCCTAGTTATTGACCGGGCTGCAGGGGCATTGACCCCTAGAACACCTCTAGGTATACCCTTTTAAACACCAACAGTTTCCCACCATTGTAGGGTATACCCCCAGAAACGAAAATACTTTTACCTTCATTTATTCCATAGTTGTCTTGCCAGAGGTGTACAGACATCATATGTATTAAAATAATCTGGTTTTCATCATGCTGTACTTAATTTATCTTCCATACAGAGTGCAAATTGATGAAAGAAGTGCAGAAAAGCGAAATTTAGAAAATACAATCCATGATTTAGAATTCAGGAAATCTGCTCTTGAACGTCAGATGAAGTCACTGGAGGCGGAACTTGCTGCACGCCTGGATGAATTGTCTGGGCTTAAGGTTTGTATTTAATTTGCTTGCTCTCATTTGATATTGTATCACAATAAACTTATTATTTAACTAAATTACCTACTGAGTTTTGCCTTTGGGGAATTGGTGTAAACTATTGGTTAGACAATAATGCCAGTCATTGACAGCTGGAATATTTCTTTATAATGTACAGATGTACATATGTACATAATGTACATATGAGGTGGTTTGGTCATTTAGAGAGAATAGATCAAAGTAGAATGACATGGAGAGTGTATAAATCTGTAGGGGAAGGAAGGCGGGGTAGGGGTCGTCCTCGAAAAGGTTGGAGGGAGGGGGTTAAAGGAAGTGTTGTGGGTGAGGGGTTTTGTCTTCCAGCAAGCGTGCGTGAGCATGTTAGATAGGAGTGAATGGAGACGAATGGTATTTGGGACCTGACGAGCTGTTGGAGTGTGAGCAGGGTAATATTTAGTGAAGATATTCAGGGAAAACCGGTTATTTTATGTAACTGGACTTGAGTCCTGGAAATGGGAAGTACAATGCCTGCACTCTAAAGGAGAGGGTTTGGGATATTGGCAGTGTGGAGGGGTTTATTGTGTATTTTTATACGTATATATTTCTAAGCTGTTGTATTTGGGCACCTCTGCAAAAACAGTGATTATGTGTGAGTGAGGTGAAAGTGTTGAATGATGATGAAAGTGTTTTCTTTTTGGGGATTTTCTTTCTTTTTTGGGTCACCCTGCCTCTGTGGGAGACGGCCAACTTGTTAAAAAAAAATATGTATGCAAGGCATGGGATGCATCTTCTTTGGCAAGGGTAATAACATTTGCCAGTTCAGTTAAGGGGTCCATTGCTGATTTATCAGGCTTTATACTGGTGGAAAATGTAGGTATAAGTGAGTATATGACAAAGGGGTTGCATTACTAGGGAATGGAAGAAAAAAATTGCAAAGGTAGTTTAGGAAAACGTTCAGAAAACAAGATAACTCTTTATCAAGGTTGTGGCACTGTTATAGGAGTAGAGTGACACTTTAATTTAATATCAGCAATGCAGTGGAAAGAAATCATTCAGAAACACTCGGAAATGATATTACTATATGGTAAATACAGTGGTCCCTCAATAATCCTCCGGCCTGAAAGTCGTCCATTTTGGAAATAGTCCTGTTTTTTTTCGTCAAAATATTGGCTCGCAAATGGTCCGGTAACTCGCTAATAGTCCTAATAGTCCTTCATCCCGGACGCGTACTCACGCTCTGAGCCGCCTCGGCCTTTCCTTCCCAGCCAGTGTGCCATTGTTTACCAGTGAGTGACGGTCCCCTCACATGCTCCTACGAAATATTTCATAATATTCCATTGATTTTAGTGCTTGCAAGTGCTAAATAAGTACCATGGCTCCAAATAAAGCTTCTAGTGCCAGCCCTTTGGTAAAGAATGTGAGAAACACATAATTTATGAAAAAGTTTGTAGAAAAATACAAGGAGGGTGGTGGTAGAGGGGAAGCAGTTGTGTTAGTGGCTGATGAACATAAGAAAGGAGGATCACTGCAGCAGGCCTGTTGGCCCATGCTCGGCAGGTCCTTTACAATTCATCCCACTAACGAAACATTTTCCCAACCCAGTCCTCAATGCTACCCAAGAAATAAGCTCTGATAACTCTATCCACTCATTTGCAAGTCCCAAATGAGTGGATAGAGTTATCAGAGCTTATTTCTTGGGTTAGCATGAGGACTGGGTTGGGAAATGTTTCGTTAGTGGGATGAATTGTAAAGGCCCTGCCGAACATGGCCCAACAGGGCTGCTGCAGTGATCCTCCTTTCTTATGTTCTTATGTTCATCAACCACTATCACAACTGCTTCCACTCTACCACCACCATCTTTGTATTTTTCTACAAACTTTTTCATAAATAATGTGTTTCTCACATTCTTTACCAAAGGGCTGGCACTAGAAGCTTTCTTTGGTGGTAGTGATGGTGGTAGAAGGTAGTAGTGAGGGGTGGGGAATTGGTAGAAGGTAGTAGTGATGGTGGTAGAAGGTAGTAGTGATGGTGGTAACAGTTGTAATAGTGGTAGAAGGTCTTAGTGATGGTGGTAGTGGGTTCCTTCTTTAGTGATTCAGTGATTCTACCAACTCCTCCAATGTTGTTGGAGTTATATAGGGCTACAAAAACCACCGCCGACTCAGCTGCTGCTTCACCACCATTATGGACGGCTTACACTCAGTGGCCCTTATATACCCAACAACAACACAACACCTCTCGTGACATACGTAATGACTTATTTTATTCATTCAAGAGTATATTCCATGTTTCTATGTTATTAATATTGTTTATTATGTCATATTAGTTGAATTGTGATAGATAAATAAGCCATAGAGTTGATATTAGTGTCATATTCTCCAACAATAAACTTGCCATCCCTCCCTCACACAAACAAATAGCCAATAAGAACATAACAATGGAAGAAACACTGCAGGTCTACTGGCCCATACAAGGCAGGTCCTTATCAAAATGACCTCCACCCAAAGCTACCCAAGAATTTACTCCGTACCCAATGACGCAAATCAAAAATTAGCTCCTCCAACTCGTATATTTGTCCAATTCTTCTTAAAGCTACCCAAGGTCCTAGCCTCGATCACCCTATGGTAAGTGTGATGTTAAATAAGAACTTAAGAAAGTAGGAACACTGGAACAGGCCTGCTGGCCCATACTAGGCCATTCCTTCACAAATCCAACCCACTAACAGAACAAATGCTACCCAAGCAATAAACTCAGGTGCAAGTCCGACTCAAATCCAACCCTCTCACTCGAGTATTTAACATGGCTTGATAAAGCTCCTGGAGAGCGAAACGTTGCCACAATAAATGTCACATTAGTTGCACTTGCGTCCTTTTACTTTACAACATAAGAACATAAGAAAGGAGGAACACTGCAGCAGGCCTGTTGGCCCATACTAGGCAGGTCCTTTACAATTCATCCCCCTAACAAAAAGAAGATTGAGACACTTATGCAAATATGGGAATCTTTATTCAGGAAACGTTTCGCCCACAGTGGCTTCATCAGTCGATACAAAGTAGAAAGGCGTAAAGGGGAGGAGGAGTTTGAGGTAATCAGTCCCTCAGCCTGGAGTCGATGTGTTCAGTCCATCAATCTTGTAGAAAGTACAGCATAGGGCTGTAGATGTGGCTTATATACTGTAGTGAGGTGAGGCGAAGCAGGAGGAGGTGAGGTCATAGTGGTACCATCCACTAGTCGAAGTAGGTCTTCGTCCAAGGGTCGGACAAGTGTTGAAGAATTCTTTGTAACAAGATCCCATGATGCTGCAGTGTTTGACAGTTGTGATGAATGGTTTGAAAAACCGACAAGTTGAAGATTGAGACACTTATGCAACATATGGGAATCTTTATTCAGGAAACGTTTCGCCACACAGTGGCTTCATCAGTCCGATACAAAGTAGAAAAGCGTAAGGAGAGGAGGAGTTTGAGGAAATCAGTCCCTCAGCCTGGAGTCGATGTGTTCAGTCCATCAATCTTGTAGAATGTACAGCATAGGGCCGTAGACGTGGCTTATATACTGTAGCGAGGTGAGGTGAAGCAGGAGGAGGTGAGGTCATAGTGGTACCATCCACTAGTCGAAGTAGGTCTTCGTCCAAAGGTCGGACAAGTGTTAAAGAATTCTTGTCGGTTTTTCAAACCATTTATCACAACTGTCAGACACTGCAGCATCATGGGATCTTGTTACAAAGAATTCTTCAACACTTGTCCGACCTTTGGACGAAGACCTACTTCAACTAGTGGATGGTACCACTATGACCTCACCTCCTCCTGCTTCGCCTCACCTCACTACAGTATATAAGCCACGTCTACGGCCCTATGCTGTACATTCTACAAGATTGATGGACTGAACACATCGACTCCAGGCTGAGGGACTGATTACCTCAAACTCCTCCTCTCCTTACGCCTTTCTACTTTGTATCGGACTGATGAAGCCACTGTGTGGCGAAACGTTTCCTGAATAAAGATTCCATATGTTGCATAAGTGTCTCAATCTTCAACTTGTCGGTTTTTCAAACCAAACCTAAATTTGAAACTACCCAATGTTTTAGCTTCGATCACCCTACTAGGCAGACCATTCCACTCATCAACTACCCCTATTACCAATGTTCATTTATACATTTTATTAGTGCCCTAGAGTCCTTATGGAGGGAGATTCCCCTTCCAAATAACCTCTCTTCCCTCTCTCCTCCTCCCTGTCTTCCATTCATCAACAGCAGCCTTCAATAAAGGTAACTGTCATGTTGAATGTTCATTCTTTTGTGCATGTAAATCTATCTTTAATGTAAAAAAAAAAATTTTTGTTGATACTTCTAGGTGTCTGGAATGAATTAATTGGATTTACATTATTTCTTATGGGGAAAATTGATTCGAAAATCGTCCATTTCGATAATAGTCCCACTTCCAGGAACGGATTATGGACGATTATTGAGGGACCACTGTACTGGAATGGTAAAAGTGAATAAGAAAAAGCTATAAAGAAAAACACTTTCTCAGCATTTATTTCTCAAATAGTCATAATGCAAGAAAGAAGATATTCAGGAATGTTGATATTATTGCAGCAACTGAGACTGATTTAATTTGAAGAGTCTGGATATGTCTGCCGAATACCATTGTCGCTTTAGCCACCTTCGCTCTACCTGCTGCTTGCTCACTTTCTCCACATCTACTTCAGGGTGCTGCTGATTCCAAGGCAGGGTGACCCCCCAAAAAGAAAGAATACTTCTACCATCATTCAACACTTTCACCGTAATTCAGACATAATTACTGTCTTTCCAGAGATGCCCAAATACAACAGTTTAGATGTCACTCCAAACAGCCAATATCCCAAACCCCTCCATTATTCCTTAAGCTGTCCAAACGTAGAACTACGTCCATGTGCGGCGGGGGGGGGGGGGGGGGGGGAGGAGGGCTCCGAACATATATCTACTTTTTTTTTTTTACATGCTTTCAAGTGGGGAAAATCAAGGTCGGAGCGCTATGCACATGGATGTAGATCTACGTTTGGAC